CCTACCTGCTCCTGACTGGGGGCACGTTGACTGCAGACTGCCTACCTGCTCCTGACTGGGGGCACGTTGACTGCAGACTGCCTGCGAGTGGTACAGACGGAGGCTCTTAGTGTTGAGCTGGGACACAATACTGTCCCACTGAAGCACAAACCCAGGCTGGAACGGTGAAGAGGCTCTGGATGTCGGGCGTCTGACAGTCTCTGGTCCTCCTCCTCCTCACACAGATGAGACTGTTGTGCCCCCAGACGTCCCCAGCTACTTGTCCTCGCAGGGCACCCTGTCCGACCGGCAGGACGTCTGCATCCGTGTGGAGCCTGGAAGCGGCCCCCAGCCCAACGGGCACCTTGATGGCCCTGGTGAGGAACCCTAACCGCACCCCCTTTTCCCAGCTTGTGGGGAGGTTCCCCAAAATCTGCTTTAGAACTGAGGAAACTGGTTATTTGACTCTTTAACTCAATCTGGCAGTTGAGTAATTTTGTCATCAAGCCTCTTGAATGGAACTCTTCCTGTCTCTAGCTAGCGATCTTCATCGTTTTTTTTGGGGGGGGGGCGACAGTTTTTCTTCACACCGACAGCAGCCATTTCGTTTCCCTTCGACTTCCTCAGCTTTTACTAGCCCCGTCGTCTGCCCAGAGTTCCTAGAAAACATCAACAGTTACTCCCAAGACCCGAGCTACATGCCTGAAGGCCAGAGAGCCGTGGATATGGGGTATCTGCAGGACCAGCACGGCCGGGGGTGCGGGCAGCCCAGGCGGGGAGATGCTGGGCCCCTGTTAGGCCAGCACTGTAATGGAGAACCGGGAGGCAGCAGGGAACTTCACACTTCGGTGTTTCCTAGCAACCACGACAGAATGACATCAATCAGCCAATACTGTGACAGAAAAGGTTTGTGTTAAGATGCTATTTCCTGGCTGCTGAGGTGTCTAGTTTACCCCTGACAGGCTTGAACCCTTTATTTTCTGTCTTCCAGGCCATCCTGTGAATGGGGTGACGGCCTCACTGCCCCTGACCACTGTCTGCACCACACCTATTGAGGAGTCCTTTCATAAACCGGTCATGCTAGGGCCAGATGCCCCAAGTTCTCCGGATCCCGGGGGCGAGTCGGACCTGAGACAGGCCCTGATATCCAACGGACGCCCGGTGCGGTCGTGCGACTCCCCCGGCGACGAGAGCGCCCCCCTCAGACGTGCCATGGACTGAGCATGTGGACACGGGGGCACCTTGTCGTCCCCCCCCCCCCCCTTTTGCACTGAGAACTGCTACCTCGACTTCGAAGTGCCCCCTGGTGGCCTGGCGAGGGCACGGCTGAAGCTTGAGGCCCGAGCTTGTGTGGGCCGCGTCCCGCTTGAGCGTTCCTGCTGTACATACTTACCGAGATCTTCCCATGGGAGGCGCCGTTTCCAGATGGAGATGACCTGCATTTGAAGCATGCGAATGTGGCCGGTGGCGTACAGCGGGGGGCGCAGTGGATCAGATGTGCCTGTACATATGATTTTTCATATATGTAACTTTTACAGAGAGTATTTGAGTCTATTCAGTGCATGTGAAAGAACGGAGTGGTGATAGTTTTTTTTAAACGGCTCTTTTTTTGGTTTATCGAGTGTCTCAACTGTGGTGCCTTATTGCATGAACAAAAACCGTGAAGCCCCCCCCCCCACCCCAGCACCCCTGCTCCCTCACCCAGCTCTTATTTGCACTTGATAGCACTCAGCCTGGCCTGACGTCCCAGCTGCCATTCTCAGCTTTGTGTATGAAGGACGGACTCAGCTGATACTTATACCCAGAAGACGTGGTGAGGTGGGATCGTCCAATAGCGACGCTGCGTGTCTCAAGCACTTTTGTACTAAGGATAAAAAACTAAAAACATAAAAAAGCAAAGGTTTAAATACTGCAAGGGTACTGTACTGGGAGTGTATTTTAGACCGTGCTGGTGTGGGAATAACCTGCTTCTTTCGATGCCATGACATAATATTGGAGGATCTTTCACCTCGGGGTGGGGGCCGGCTACCCGTGGTTCGGGCCCCCGGACGGCGTGTGTGGCGCCCCCTGCAGGGCAAGAGAGACGCTGATTCAGAACCCTAAAGGAAACAGACTGATGAAGTGCCATTCCGGAACTTGCCGGAAGTAGGTGCTAGTGCCACTTTTTGTGTTGGGGGGGGGGGGGCTATTCGTGAGGCACATTCCCTTCAGTGATAGGGGAGTGCAGACGTGCCCGCCTGAGCCGCTCAAAGCCCCCCCCCACCCAGCCTGGACACCAGCATGAGCTTGGGAAGGTCCTCTTCAGGTGAAGGGATCAGGTGACCATCTGGTTCTCTATCGGTACAAATCTATTTATTTATGTGAACTTTGAAAGCTGTTGTACCGTGACAATGTTCAAAAGATACTGTGTCCATTAAAGTCACATTTATTACTCGAGATTCCAGCTGCTCATTTGACAGAGACCATCATATAGGGGAGAATCTGATATCACCAACTTTTTATTTTGACAAACTCTAAATATTACAGAAATAATCAAAAAGCTGTTACTTCATTCACATTGTCCACGTGAAACATGTCTGCGCTAACGATCTTCGTACTAACCAGCCCGTCGCTTCAGTCACATTCCTGGCTTTTAATACGTGTCCAGTCTGTGATTTCCTAAGACTGGGGGGTCGACGGAGAGCCCCCTCTCTTCAGGTGAGACTCAAAAACCACTAGAGCTGCTCATTAGCCTTTGGAAGAACGAAGATGCCGATGAAGGGGATGAGCATTCAGACCATCAAAAGGAACATGTCTGTATTAGACCTGGGCCTGAATGATTCAGACAGCAGTTATGGCTTCAGTCTGGAAAACAGACTCAACTCCAGTGATTTTACAACCAGGACAGTTAAACTCAATCTGCAGCCAGCTGTGAACCAAGAATGCAGGTCTTTGGGTAACGTGATCTCCGTCGCTCCTCTGCAGTCACCTCGCGTCTTGCGTCAGCACTTCGGGGTTCGTCGCTGTTTCGGGGGGGGGGGGGGGGGTGGCTCCTGCCTAAAGCAGCATGCTGCGGACTTTATCGTATGCCCCCAGGAATATGAACCCCCCGATGCTGATGAAGGCCATCCGGGGGAGGCTGCCAGCAAACAGGCTGGGGAGAGGCAGGGAAGGTGCAGAAGATAGGGTTACTCTTATCTACAGGCGCTAATGGTGGAGGGCCGGGGGCCCCTTCGGAGACGGGAAGGCTGGCGGGAAGCAGCGCTGGGCAGAGCCACCGATCCGGAGCGGCTTCCAGCTGGCCGCACAGGCAAAGCAAGCGAACACAAAGGTATGAATAACCCATGGTGTCAGAAAAGGAGCAGGGAAAAGCGCCGGCCTTCGTACGTGGAAAACAATGTACTTGGAAAGCTGTCACCCTGCTTCCCGTAAGCGTTCAGGTTTCTATTCTGAGCGCTTCAGTGAGACCCCTTCTGTGAGAGGTCAGCTCTCTGGGCCAGCGGAACATGGCCCGGGGGCTGTTGATGTTGGAGGGCTTAGGGGGGCGGGTGCAGCCGGCCGACCGTGCGCTCCGCTGCCCCGAGCCAAATTCCGCGCAGCTGTTTTCGATATTAATCCCGGTGCGCGGGACCGGCAGGCATGACGAAGAGCCAGATGACAGCCGCACACCCCCGCAAGTGGCCCCCCTCGCAGGAGCGCTGCGAGCTTGCCAGCCCCCATGGTTCATGTCACCGCACTTCACAGGCCCCCGCCTCCCTGTGTCAGGTGGCTTTTTTCATGTTTTTCTTTTTTTTTTTTCGGCTCTCCATATAGAACAGGGTCATGAAGGGCTGACCGCTAATGCATCAATTTTGTCAACTGCGGCTCTCTACAAGGTGCCAAGCATGCCGGGGATCTGCGGCATGCGGCTGCACCACAGACACTGCCTGCATGGTGCAGTGTGGTCGCAGCAAGGCCACGCCCCCCTCCCACAACCAACAGCCCAAGGTGCACCTGTCTGCAGACAGCAAGCCACCCTTCTGACTCATGGTAATATCACCACCACTGTGGGGAGGCCTTATGGAGGGGCTTGCTGCAGGTACAACTAAGCAAGGGGCTACTGCCATGTGGGTGGGGCTTACAGGAGGTGGGGCTTAGACAGGGGCACATGGGGGGGGGGGGGGGGGTGGACAGATGGAAGCACTTGATGAATTCACTGGACTGTAATTGGGCCTAATACCACAATTACAGCTTTAAAGCAGAGGGAAATTTCCACAAGTGGCCGGGCTGGGCCATGAGCCATAGCCCCGCCCTCTGTGACTCCCCCCACCATCAGCTGAGAAAGGAGGATAAACAGAGGCCTTCAAAGCAAATGCAGTGGCTGACACTGGAAGAATCCAGAGCCTCTATGGCTGCCTGGTCTGACTCCCATCATGAAGCAGCAGCAGCTGAACCTGCAGGCATTAAAGCTGCGAGAAGAGCAGTGCTCAGGTCATCAAGTATCAAGTGTGACGACAGATGGACTGGACGTCTGGGTCCCATCAGTTCATGTGCATTGTATAATTCACACTTCCTTCATGCCGGAGTTTCTATAAGCGCACAATGCGCAGAGACACACTGAGTTGCAATCAAAATGCGCCTGGCGGTCAGGAGGACCTGAATGTAGGGGTGGGAGGGGGGGGCGTGCAGTAAGTACAAGCAGCTGCTTGCATGCTGCCTTCCTGCCAGCTGATCCGGGTCTCCTGGAGAGTGACCAGACCGGGTCATGGCGCGGCTAATGGCGGACGCTGCGGCCGATTGGACGCCCTCACACTCACCCAAGGAGCCCCTGTCTCTTCCAGACCTCGTACAGGACCCGGGGGATGTTTCCACTCGCTGTGCTCGTCCCGGCCTGCGTGGGCCAAGGGGGGAGGGATCAGAGAGTGGGGGGGTGATGGATGGGCCCCTCCCTCGCTGGCAGTCGGCATCCCCACGTGGGTCTTACCTTGGCCAGCATTATTCTGGTCTTCGCTACGTCGAGTGGCGTCGTGACGAACGCAGCCACCCCCCCTGCAGCAACACGGCGACACACACAGTCATGCGTCATGGGCAGGAAAACACCAGAATGAAGAGGCTGCACATGGCTGAAAGCTCAGCCGTAAAGACTGTAAAGTGGTGCAAAAGACCCATGCCATCTCACAAGCAAACATATATTAAAACCTCATGCTTTTTTTGGTTCACTCCTGCAGCTCAGCCCGCCTTCCCAAAAATCATCCCAGCTGTGTCACGAGAAGGGGGGGGGGGGTGCTCAAAAAGTCCAGGCCCCTCCCCCGATCCAGAATTGATGTGTTCTGGTCCAGACAAGCTGGAACAACAGTCCTGTGTTCAGTCCAAGTTGGACACAGGGTCTGAGGCAGGGGCCAAGGACCTGTTCCTGAGCCGGGAAAACAGGGGCCAAGCAGCCCCCACCTCCTGACACCCTGGGCGTGATGTCAGCTACCCCCACCCCTTGGTAACAGCGTCCAATGAACACTGACTTGCAGGACGAGGAGAAACGCCAGACAGAAAAAATAATCAGAGCGCTCCCACACATATGTGGCAGATCACATTTCGGGGCTTCCTGACTCACCTGGTCCCTGTGTGCTGTCAGTGTATGAGGTAGGATAAATAAGCACCGCCCACAAATGAGGGGGGCGGGGCTCCAGGTTGCTATGGAGACCACATGCAGCACCACATGGCATTCCGTCTGTCCAGCGCCTGCGGCTTCCAGTTCAGAGCGAGCAGATGAGGGCCGCTGCGTGTGTGTTTGCCGAGGACGGCAGGTTGGCTACGTGCCCCTGAGCTGTAACACCCCACAGCTGAATCACCTCTGACGTTGGTACCTCACTGGCATGTAAACGGGCCTCTCTCTCTCTTTATAGTCCAAGATCCAGCTATCGATATCTCCAGAGCTGTTAAATGAGGTTTGTAAAAATCAATCGGTACGTTTACATGCACCGCTGTTGATTTTCCCATGCAGGCTACGGTTATAGCACGACTACGGCATTTAATCGGACTACTGTCCCTGTCCCAGTATACATGCATGGGAAGGGAATCGATTTATTGAACAAAGTATGTCTGACTCCGCAACAATAAGGGGTGATATGGCTCCTTTCAGCTTGTTAGTATTGGGTGTTTCCCAGTCGACCGTTTACGTCATAGACATAAAAAATATATACAATTATTAATAATGGATGCGTTAACAAATGAAGTGACACAAGCTTTAATTACAATCTGGTCAGAAGAACAGATACAACAAGATGAAGATAGCATAGGAAATAAAGTATTTTGTATAATATACTATGACAGCACGGAATTGGAAATATTTCAAATATTGCGATTGTTGTAATAAAAATTGGGGAATTCAGGAAATTCCGGAAGGCCCACATGCAGAACTCAGTACCGGAAGGTGGACCACAGTTCTGCATACAAAGGTCGGCTTCAGTGGACCTGCAGCAGCAGACCTGTAAGTTTACATAACTGCAAGCTGCCTGTAAACCCTGCAGACTAGTTTGTACAAGAAATTAGTCCATGACAGGTTACTGGTGATATGATGGTTAAATCACCTAACAAAAATTTTTTAAATGTCGGCTGGTGTTTTGATTGCCTCGGAGAACACATGCAGCGCTCATGCAAAAACAGCGGAGGTAAACTTTAAGCTGATTTTAAACACATACTAGATAATCTTGAAAAGAAATAATAATTAAAATTGCAAAGCTAGGTAAGTTTTTCCCTATAGAGAGAGAGTGAAGTAGTGCTCGCTGATTACAGCGCGTTGCCGCATGCACCACCCGACGAAACACCTCAGGGATGAGAAGCCCAGTGCAGCCATGCAGTGCAGCCATGCAGTGCAGCCATGCAGTGCAGCCATGCAGTGCAGCCATGCAGTGCAGCCATGCAGTGCAGCCAGGCAGTGCAGCCAGGCAGTGCAGCCAGGCAGTGCAGCCAGGCAGTGCAGCCAGGCAGTGCAGCCAGGCAGTGATACCTCAGCACCACACGAGTCCGAACAGAACAGTGTGAGTTTTTTTTCAGTGGCTGAAGTGCCAATCCTTTTTCCCTATGCCAAAATAAAAATGTTTTAGCGAGAAACTCCCTGTGCTATACTATTTGTACAAAATTGAGGTAAGAAAAGGCCTGATCTTAATCTAGCTGACTAGCAATATAAGAATTGGATGTGCATAACATTTTGACTTCAGTACAAAATACCCCGTTTCGCATTGTGATGTCATTTGGCGCCAGTACCGGTGTTCACACCAGTGGAAAACCAACACCTTGAAGTTCCGTAGTTTTGGTACCTCGTGTGGTGGAAAAGCACCTTTTAGTTGAGCGGTGATTGGGCAGGTTTACAGTGCTGTACATTTCGTATGGCTCCTGCTATGCTCCAAGCTTCTTCTGTTACTTCCAGGTTAATAAATCAATTTGATTGTCTTAGTGGGCCCCTGCCGTGTAAACGTACTGAATATAAGTACGCGGGGTAAGGGCCCCTGCCGTGTAAACGTACTGAATATGAGTACGCAGGGTAAGGGCCCCCGCTGTGTAAACGTACTGAATATGAGTACGTGGGGTAAGGGCCCCCGCAGTGTAAACGTACTGAATATGAGTACTGAATATGAGTACGCGGGGTAAGGGCCCCCGCCATGTAAACGTACTGAATATGAGTATTAAATACGAGTACGTGGGGTAAGGGCCCCCGCCGTGTAAATGTACTGAATATGAGTACTGAATATGAGTACGCGGGGTAAGGGCCCCCACCATGTAAACGTACTGAATATGAGTATGTGGAGTAAGGGCCCCCGCCTTGAACATTGTGTCCACCGTCTTGCTCGGTTTCCAGATCCACCACGCAGACGGTCCTCGGGGGCCTGTATCCGCCCCCCCCACCCCCGCTGTGATTCTGGACCTCTCGTCCGGGCTGTCACGCAGACCCAAAGTTATGACCGCTGTGCTGAAGCAGCCCCAAGCCCCAGAGCATTGTTGGTCAGACAGCTGCGAGGCCCTGTCCCACAGACCGCCCAGTGAAAATGCAGGATGAATAAATACACACGCAGTTAGTTTATAGAGGAGTGCCTCTCCTTGTCTGGGCCTTTTGTTACACACAAGAAAACCTGTGGAAACTGAAGCGACCTGTGAGGAATTCTGCAGGAATGTAGATCCTGTAAACTGCAGACTCCTGGCCTTTCTCTTCCCCCGCGCCCCCTCCCCCCCCGCCCCCATTTCCAGAGCAGCGTATAATCCCCCGCACCTGCAAACGCTCCACATACTGCAGCTTGCCAAGAATACAGCGTGTGACCCTGCCTCCGTGACCAAAGGCTCTGTGGAGGGAGAGAGAGAGAGGGGGGGGGGGTTATTAAGCTCATGTAAAGGCATCGCAGGGCCCGCTGGGCTAGTCCGAGATGGGAACAGGGCGACGCGGCTATTTTTGAATCTGAACTGAACTTTTCCATTTTTTTTTCTTTTTTTTTTTATTTCCCCTGGTAGCTTCTTGTGGGGGTAGAGATGCCAGCTCACGGGGAAACTGCTAGAATGTTCACTCAAATGACCATTTGTGTTGGGGGGGAAATTCAGCCAGTCCATTCAGCATGCACTGGGAGGGGCAGCGGGGGGCTGACGAGGCATGGCTGCCGAAGGGCCACATATTCATGCACCTCAGCAAGGGGAGCAGATTACATGCGTGTGGCAGGCCGGCTCACAAGGCCTATCTCAGCGGAGGCCTGTCCCGGTCTGGGCCGGCTGCAATAACACTAACACACAGCTTCAAAATCAATTTAAAGTCATTTACTCCATCTCTCAAAGGCGAGTGTGAGCACGCTAGTCTTGGACCTGGCATGGACTGGGCGCAGCCGGCACCCGCCCAGGGCTGGGGGGGGGGGGGCAGTCATGTACGGTGGCAGTCTGCAGGCCGAAAGGCAGTAGCTGTGTGACGGCTATGGGCACGCTCTCCCCTGGCAAATAACGGGCCAGCCTCGCACGGGACAGGGCGTGCCCACACACACCTGGCAGGGGCGGCTCCAAAATCACCTTCCCACCAACAAAACTTTCAGAAATGCCAAACAAACATCGATCCCCCAGAGTGACTGGCAGATTTTGGGAATAAACACTCATTCAGCGGGCAGAGCCCCTCAGCCCTGCCCAGCTTAGCTGAAAAGTCAGGGGCCTCGAGTCTCCACACCCTTTACCAGAGAATCGAGCTGTGATGAGAGCGTGGGGTGCGGGGGGCTCTCTGTGCTGGGCATGGGGGGGCTCTCTGTGCTGGGCGCGGGAACCAGAAGAGGCCAGCTCACAAAACAGCCTTTGAAAGAGGCTGCTTCCAGATGGCCACTGTGAAGGACACTTCTGGCCTCGGTGAGAGAGCGGCCTGTGTCTGCCACAGCTGCGAGACCCATTGTCCCCCCCCATCGCCGGGGGGGGGGGGGGCTGGCCGCCCGGCCTCCTGTCTGATGGGATTTTCTGCTCTCGGCGGAGAGACATGATGTCATTCTCACACACGCTGCATTAAATTCACTTTTATGTAGCGAGAGAGAACAATGGGGATGGGGGTGGGGGGGGCAGATGTCAGCATTAGTCACGGAGGTGGTGACCATTAAGAACCAGAGTCTACAATTCCGTTATTTGATTGAATGTCGTGATGCAGACGGGCACGGGCGTAAACCCCAGACGGGGGCTCGGGGTGCTGCCGTGTTTCACTACAGGTCTGACAAACACAGGCAACAGAAGCTCCACGTACCTTGAGGTACTCCCAGAGAGGAAACTGCACCAGGGAGAAGGGGATCTGCAACAGAAGAAGGGAACATTGTTGTCCATTTCCCAGTATCCGGGGTCCACAGCTTTGCATCTTCTGTAACCCTACATTTGACATGTACCGTCATATACACAAGAAATAAGATTCTCATGAGATACTCATAAGATAAACGGGGTGGAGGATTCCGGTTTTTTGCTTGCCCTTTGGTTGGGCATAGTGTCACTGACAAACAAGGTCAAAGGCAGGGTAAAACCTAAACAAGATCACTCCCAAATACGGCCATGTGGGGCTACCGCCGGAATCCCCCAGAGCCGATGCCCAATGACTAATTGATGAGAAGAGGCCTGTGGTTCGGGTCCGGGGACAAGGGCAACGTGACGGACACCTGCCACTGGGGACACACTGTCCTCAGACAGGAAGTGACACGGAGCGGAAATCGATGTCACTCCCGTTCGGGGAGTCTGAATGCCGGTGACCCAGCTGCACTTTGGCCAGACAAAGACCCTTTTCTTACCATCCACAAAAAAGAAAAGTCACTGGAGGCCAGCAAGAACCCCCCCCCCCCCCCCAATCCCGGCCAGTGGTGTGAGCACCCAACACCCTGCATTGTTCCCCCGTCACCTGGCAGAGGCCCTGGGGAGGCGGGGCATCCCGGGGAGGCGGGGCATCCCAGGTAGTGACGGCCCCTGCACAGGCCTGAGTCACGGTGACGCACAGCAGGGCTCAAGTCTGACCTATTTTCCTCTTTCAGTTTTCAAGAATTCCTCATGACATCAGCATGGGGGCGACCAAACTGGAACTGCACCTTGAGAGCACAGGGTGAATCCATATGACCACGCCCTGGCACAGTCGCGCCGACAGGCCGCGCCCTGGCACAGTCGCGCCGACAGGCCGCTCCCTGGCACAGTCGCACCAAGCCTGCCTCTTTCAGAGCAGAGGGAACAAGCAGAGCCGGAAAATAGCAGCTTATCACGAGTATTACACATCAACGGTTTGAAAATGTCCAACTTCTCTGAGTTGTTGTGAAAGAGGTCCTGGCAGGCCTTATGGGGCCGACACTGATTTATGATCGAGATGACGGTGCCGGCGGAGACAGATGGAATTTATGCTGTTGTACGTGTCAGACACTTGCTCCCTCAGAGCCGGAGGCTGTCTCCATTCTGCAGGCCGTGACAGGGCAAGAATAGACAGAGAGGAGCCCCGGAGGAGCCCCGGAGGAGCGAGGCATTGTGGCCGTACGGGGGCCTGAGGAGAAAACGCCCAGCGAAGGCTCCACATGGACTCTGAACTACAGACAGAGCCTGAGGAGAACAGGCAGAGAGGAGTTCAGGAGGAGCTAATGAAGCGGGGCAGGTGGAAGGGGGGCCAAGGAGAGAGAGTGGCCAGTGCGGGGCTCCAAACGGACTCTGAACTACTCTGAGACTTTGGAGGGGAGGGGAGGGGAGGGGTGGGGTGGGGGTCACTTACACAGATCCATGCTGACAGTCTGACTTACGCACCCCACCTGGTACATTGATGCCTGGAAAAAGGCCAAAGTGAGGATGGGCGTGGCAAGGACCCCCCCCCCCCCGCATCAGGTAAAGTGCACGCTGGTACAGAAGGGCTCCCCCTGCTGCTGGGGGGCGGAATCTCCAGGCAACTGCCTGCTGTTCACTGGGGTAAATCCAAAGGCTGCGTCCCCAACTGTCAGCTGGCTTACAGACAAGCCACCTGCGCTGGGATCTAAGCTGGTCCCTGACCCATTTCGGTTTGTGGCGTCGGTGCTCATTCAGTGCCGACACAGTCCCCTTATCGCTGATCTTCCAGGACAGAGAGAAAGAGAGGGGGGGGGCTTGTCTTAACCTATTTAACAATCCCAATTCATCATATTGGCCCATCCCTGAGAGGACAGTTTATCGAAGCACTATAAAATGAATTAAGCTATTATGCAGAGCGCTGGGAGACTGCACGGCACAGCGCATTGTTCAAATGTTTATACAACCCTCTGACATAATCAGACAAACCGCTCTGATTAGTTAGGGTTACACTCACATGGGGGGGGGGGGGGGTTAGGCTACGTATTAGGACAGCATTTCAGTCCCATGACACGCTTCTAGCCAGAACAGACCATTAACAATTACAGGCATCATCAGGAAGGATCCTGACTGTCACTGCACAATTGACATGCTTCCCTTAAAAGTGCACCATTCATCCAGTGATACAGCCTCCAATCATAACTTATTTTTTTCTTCTTTATTGCTGTAACTAATCTTCAGGGGGGGGTGTGACTCCGCAGTGGGGGGGGGGGGCAAGGACTGGTAAGAATATTTAGCTATTGTTTACGTAGCTGGTTAAAAAACCACACACCCATACATCTATCAGTGACTCTGAAGCCAAGACCACAAACTGGGGGTGTGGAAAAACACCCCCCCCCTCCTGGCTACGTAAGAGACGTGCATTTCAGATGACTGCAGCGATACCCATCCAACGCTCCCGAGAGGAGACGTCACATGACCGACCACGTCAGGCCTGGGAAGTATTATATCATTCAGAAATAACCTCAGCAGAGAGAGATGTGGCCCCCTGGTGGGGGGAGAGAGAGAGAGAGATGAGGGGCCCCCGCCTGAGAGAGATAGAGGTGAGGGGCCCCCACCTGAGAGAGAGATGGGGGCCCCGGTGGGGGGAGAGAGATCCATCAGGCTAACAGATGGGGGGGGGGGGGGGGGGGGGGGGGGGGGGGG